GGGGATGTGGGAGCCGAGGCGCTGGAGGGAGGGAGGGACCGCGCACCGAGGGAGGGCGGGGGCCTCCCCGGCTAGTGCTTCGCGGCCGCCACGGGAGATAGAGTTGTCTCAAGTTCCGTACCATCCCCCCTCCCTGGGCCGCAGCAGCCCGAGCTGGGCCGTTAATGATTGATGCGGGGGCCCAAGGCTGCGCCAGCGATGAGCTGCGCGCGCGGAGAGCGAGGGTCCGCGCCGGGGTTCGAAACCCGACAGCCACGCCGGCGTTCGAGAGGACACTGTGCGGCCGCGTTCGCGGGGGCGGGGAGCTGCGGCCGCGGGGGACGAGGAGGGCGCCCGGCGCGGCCGAGCCGGGCAGGGTGGAGAGGTGTGCCAAGAGGTCCCCAGAGGGGGCGGGGGCGCTTCGGAATCGGGGGGCTTTGCGACGGTGTCCGGATCAGGGCCGTGTCGTTGTCAGATACCTGGGGCTGCTCCTCTCTTTCCGTGTGTGTGTGTGCGTGTGTGTGTGTATATGTGTGTATGCGCGCGCGCACGCGCGCGCGGTTCTCACTCTCAGCACCGTATCAAGCCTTAGTTATCTCTTTTCGACTAGCGGACTTATTCAGGTGCGTCACTAACCTGCCTTCTCCCTAGTTATTGTCTGTCCATACGAGTCGTCCCTAAACTGGCCTCCGGTCGCGCTCACCAGCCCTCGGGGGCCGCAGCTCACCCATCCTCGTGTTCTTGTGCCCTTAGCTAGGAATCTTGTTTGGAGTCCAAATTCCGACAACTCAGGGCGGGCTGCTCAAACTCTGCGTTTCAATGAAAATTTTTAGATGACGACCAGGTGATTCAGAAAGCCTCTAAAGATCTGGGGAGTTTATTAAGAAGGGGTTCCCAAGCAGAGCTGTGCCGAGTCAAAGGCTGATCAAGCGGAGGGCGTTGATGAGGGAGCACTTCGAGGAAGAGGTGCGGTCTAGCGCGAACTGAAAAGAGAACGAAGACGAATTCGTAGCGACTGGGAGGGGGTGGCTTGGAAAAAACTTATGCATAATTAACCAGGAATACCTGGCAGGCTAGGCTGGGTGGCTGGAGGCCAGAAGAAAGGAAGACCAACGAGTCGAGAAAAACGGTTGTGATGCACTGCGGGGTGAAATTATGCCCTGGAGCCTTGTAAAAAACAAGCAAACAAACAAACCTGTTTGGTCTAAAATGTTTGCCATTTCACAGAAGTTTCTCTTAGTGACGCCATGAGGGTGTGACTGAGGCTGACTTGTGTCATGGACCTGCAGTAGTACAGTGTTATGACGACAAGCACTAACTTTTAAGGGACCAGGCACTGTTCTAAGTGCTTTACAGTTTTTAAATCTTTTAGGTATTATTATTTTTCCCATTTTACAGAGGAGGAAATGGAGGCACCACAACCATAAATAACATCCCCCCTTGGTAGAAGGGGGATTTGAACCCAGGCTAGCTGCTTCTAGATCTCCTGTACTTACACCAGAACATCCAAGGACCTGCTTTGCTCGAAGGAAAGTAGTAAGAAATGGCAGTCTGATTTAGCAAAAGGCTTTCGTTTTCAATTTATAAAGGAAAGGCTGCCTTCATCACTACCGCAAATCCTGTAAGTAGGTCAAGGAAGATTTACTTAGTAGTGGCTCAAGAAGGACTTAAGTTATGGATAAGAAATATTTATAACCAAGAAATCATTCAGTATTGTAAACGTGTAAAATTACTTAAGGGTACTAGAAACAGTCTCTTTAGAAGTTCAGCCTTCTCTCAAAAAATGTTTTCCACTAGTAATTGACTTAGCAAACTCTTACACAATTAGGCCAAAGGTACACTTTGGTCTTGTGCTTTTCTGAACTACCACAAATTTCTGATTAATGGATTTTAAACAAGTGAGTTTTTGCTGTAGTTACTTAACTAGTATTTTGTCTTAGTATTCTCTGTTTGCCCGCTGTCTATAGCCATCTTGTTTTAAAGCAAAACCTAATTTCCTTTCACATCTGGACTAAGGATCCAGGCTAATTTGTAAAAGGGATTAAGATTCAGGCATTTACAGATGAAGCCTAGGAATGATAAACCTGAATCCAGGGCAGACTAGAAAACAAATTTTTTTTGTATTCTCCTTGTTACTCCACAAACAACCTGAACTGTGTCTGTAAAAAATGTTGATCCCATAATAATTCCCATATTTATCAACCACTTAGTTGCATAATCAGCTCACTTACATAATCAGGGAAAATATAATAGAAAGTTCACATCAAGTAAAATAACGGAATTGACTGTAAATGAATGTGCAAAAACTCTAGTTAGATAAAATAACATTTATCTTTATGACTAAGAGTGGTGAGACTGGCTGTAATAAAATATGATGTGCTTTAAAACACTCAGTATTTTACGAAGTCAAAAAATCTGTTGTAACGTTTCTTGTAGGTCTTTCAGAAAGCCTTTGTGATTTCTGCTTTTCTCTTTTCTCATACATCTTCCACCCCACAGGAGGTAGAAAGTCAGCTGATGCCATGAAGCGGTGTTCATGAAAACTCTCTGGTGCCAAACCAGACAGCTGTCCTTGCTATACCTTAACAAAGCCAAGCAAAAAGGAACTAAGAAAACAGCAAAACTGACCTAATTTATTAAAATATAAATAAAATGAAAAAATAAAAAATAAAAAACCCTGGCAATATGACTTTAATTACTACCAATCTATAGAATTAATTTTTAAGTTTTTTGAGATATAAAAATGTATTCCCCAAACCCTACACAGGCTGGGTTTTGGAGTTTAACCGCAGTAAACTCACTGCCTCTTGTCAGTGAGAAGCATGTGCACATCCCCTGGGCTTGGCTAAGTGGGTGGAAGCTGCGGGCTGGCTGCCATCCTCTGAAGGTGCCCTGGAGAAAAGGCATCTCTAAGGGAACCAGTACTGAGGACCAGGTTCTTGACAGAGAGGAATCGCCAGGTATTACATTGGAAAGCCTGCGCCAGCTTTTAGAGGCAGAATCAGCTGGTTCTCCCAATTGAAAGCTTGTCAAACCAAGACCACACATGTGGTTTTCATAGTTTTGTGGAGGCTCTGTACATGCTGGTGCTGAGGGGTCCTGGCTGCAAAACGCAGTCATGAATCGGAACTGTAGCAAACAAGACAAATGCTTTTGCCCATGTGGTTTGCTTTGGTGATGTTCTTATAGACCAACTATAGGTTTATTTGTTTTTCTCTCTACAGTGATAAAATGAAGCATATATAAAAATGCCACAGCAAATTTGATATTTTCTAATATGGACGATGAGCTGTTTGTAAAACCTGCAGAAAAATATACTATGATATTTGCTAATAATACACTGTTTTCGGAGGAAATAATTTTTTTCCTAGTTTCATTTTTAGCCAAAACCAATCAACCAACCAACCAAGCAAAACCCACTGTGGACCCAGTGCTTAACTGCACCCAAGACTCTGTATAAAGAGAAGTCTATAAGGTTCAGGCCCTCTCCTCAGAATATACAGTCTTCAATATAGATGAAGTGCTTCTCTTCCCCCAAACTGAAAAGCCATAACGTTATCACCAAACTCTTGTGGGTCAGCTTTGGTCACTACCAGATTATAGGGTCTGGGCTTCCTGATGGTGGAAAACCGTCTGACGGTGGCGTCAGGTGTAACTATGGCAACCGTGGGGGAAAAGTGCCACCGAAGGCCAGGTAGAGGGCTGGGAGCCCGGGAGAGAGTTGTGGGAGATTGTGGCACCATTTCTGCCTATTTACAGACATGGCGACAGGGTTCTTTTTTTGAAGAAAAGCTAAAGAAGACTTGTTGAGGATGCTCTTGCCTTTTGAGGTTCTATGCAGGGGGTGACAGCTCCGTACTCCCCTCTCTCCCGCAAGTTCGCCTGTTCTCTACCAGTGGTCTCCGAAGTGGGGTGCGCAAGCAGACTGATTAAGGTGAAGAATAAAATATTACAGCTCCTGGGGCTGGCCTGGTGGCGCAAGCTGTTAAGTGGGCGCGGTTAGCTACAGCGGCCTGGAGTTCGCCAGTTCGGATCCGGCGCGCACTGACGCACTGCTTGTCTGGCCATGCTGTGGCGGCCTCCCATATACAGTGGAGGAAGATGGGCACGAATGTTAGCCCAGGGCCAGTCTTCCTCAGCAAATAGAAGAGGATTGGCAGATGTTAGCACAGGGCTGATCTTCCTCACACACACAAAAAAATAAATAAAAATAACAACTCCTGTTTCAATAGATCTCATCCTTTAAAGTGTCTACACTCTGTGAAGGTTTTATAATACACTTAATATGTAGTACATGGAGGTAATTTATAAATAATATGTTGGGGCATGGAGGAACGTCAAAAAGCTGGCTGATAAAGGGTGAAAGATCAAAACTGGTTCTTCTGCCCTATAGTCCATCGCTCTTGTTTGTCCGGCCTGCTTGCATCCGCTCTCCCAGGTCCAGAATGGACTCCTCTTTCCTGCCTCTCAGGTCGCTGGAAAGGGTGTTTCAGGGTCACCATCTGTCAGGCAACAGTCCCTAAGCTCTGACCAGACCTGCCGGCTGCTTCAGCCCCTCCCACAGCTTCTCTGAGCCAGGATGGCAGTCTCCGTTCTGGTGTTCTGTCTCCCAATTCTGCCATTCCTGTTTCCTGGCTAGAAACATTTGTCTTCCTGGCTAGAAACATTTGTCTTCCGACAAAGGCCTGATTTACATGTTATATTCATCCTAAGGCAGAGTTACCGTTTGGGGAGGAGACTGTCACAGGCTGTTGCTTGTGTTTGGTAGGGCCTTTTAGGTAGCTTCTGTTTATTTAACTTTAGAAACAGTTACACAGGTCTGTAAGATAGATTATTGAGTTCCTGCTCTTCATTATTTATTGACAGCTTTCCTTGAAACACAGTGCTTTGCGCATAGTAAGCACTCAACACATATTTGTGATTGGGGAAATTCTTTTCAGTACTGTAAGCCTTTAAAAGATTAGAACTTAGAATCCTAGAATCTTAGTATAGGGATGTCACTTAATCCTTTGAGTCATCTAGTCCAACTGTCTTCCCATGTATGAGAGTTGTTTCAATTTATTGATCATATACTGTTTTTGGGTACTGGGATAGGCACTTTACATATATTATCTCTAATTCTCAGAATTCCCTTGGCAGGGTAAA